AAGGTTTGACAATCTTTGGTCTATGTAGAAAATCTGATCAAATCTACCAAGAATTAATAAGTGAGTATTATTAGTACCAGGACTAATAAGTGAGTTCAGTAAGATTGAAGTATACAAAACTGACATACAAAAATCAACTGTATTTCTATACACTCATGATAAACAATCAGATTAAATGTTTAAGCATATCATTTACAACTACATCAAAAACTGAAACAGATAAATCTGATAAACTATAGAAAGACTTATACACTAAAAACTACCAAATATTACTGAGAAAATTAAATATGACTTATATAAATGCAGACATCCATTTTTTTAAAGAGTAGGAAGATTCATTATTAAGATGTCCACTCTCCATAAATTAATCTATAAATACAACACAATTCTAGCCTAATGTCCAACAAGCCAGTACTTGTTGGACATTTTTAAATGACAAGGTGATTCTAAATTTTTTTTAAATTGACAAGCTGATTCTAAAGTTCATGTGGAAATGTAAAACTAGCATAGGCAAAACACAACGAAGAAGAGAAAAATCAACTTCAACAATTATTATACATCAACAGTAACCAAAACAGTTGGCCACTGGTACAGGATGAATATCCCTTATTAAAAATGCTTGAGACCAAAAGTGTTTCAGGTTTTGGATTTTAGAATATTTGCATATACATGATGCAATATCTTGGTGATAGGACCCATGTCTAAACACAAAATCCTTATTCACAAAGACAGATGGTAATTAAAAAAATACTTTCAATAATTTTGTGCATGAAACAAAGTTTGTGTATATGAGGTGAACATGTTTAGTCATTAGGATCATGCGTATTAACCACACCCATAAGAATGGCTACAAATAAATACTGCAATACTTAGTGTGACAACACAGTAACCACAACTGTCCTGTTGTGCTGATGAGATGGAAATGGTACACTTTAAAAAAAAAAACAAAAACATTTGGCAGCTTTTTCTAAAAAGGGAACATAAAGCTGCATAGGACACTCTTGCAGGTTATGGATAACTACCTTGGTTTCACACGTGTATGTATGTGTCAAAACTTATCAAACTGTACATTTTACATATGTGCACTTTAACATGTATCAGTTATACCTCCCTGAAGCTACTGATTGTAGGAGCAAACACCTGGGACACTGGCTGTGACACAGAGAAACAAGGGTGTGAAATGAAGTAGTATAAAGCTAGAGCATTGTCATCTTTACCTTATAGCAATGATAAGTGGCAGCTGAGTGTTAAGCAAACAGGTAACATGATCAGATGTGAATTTTAAAAATGTATATAATTATGATTGCAGAACAGACCATGGTTTTGGAAGGTGGGGTAGTAGGAAAAAGAGTTAAATAAGGTTATCACAGTATTCCAGGTATGAGATAATGATAACCTGACCCTGGGTAAAGGCATAGAAGAGAAGCAGAGTCAACAAATAGATTTGAGAGTGTCATTCACACTGGGAAAGGTACAGTGGAATGATCACAGCTCTTTGGCTAACAGTATACAAGATAGAGTAGTTCTCATTCTATGTTCACAAGAAGCATACTTCCGAAATGAACATCCCTATAACACATCTATGGTACGGTGCTAAGCAATATCTGCATACATTACTATAGGATAGGGAAAGAGCCTTATATTTATGCATTGGTCCTACCTTTACACTCCATTCCATGTTGTTCAATGCGTAACATAAAATTCTTATCATCAGAGTAAGGCAAGTCATCATCCTCTGAGGTTTTTTTAGATGACCCAGTTACGTCATTAAGGTCATCCCTGAAATATATTTGGCTTTTAACCTATAAAATAAATAACACTGTTTCAAAATGCCCTCAAAATATTTATAGCATATACTAAATATACACCAGCGGAAATTATTCATCTTTTTATATGAGCAAAAACACAGCTACTTCTTAAAATAACTGACTTTGGTTAAAAGGGTGCTTTTATGAATGGTTAACGCTGCTTTATCAAAGTCAATGTCTTTACAACCAAAGATTTTGTTTTTTTACCATGATCTTTTATAAGGTATTTTCAACAACATTCTTGATAATTTACTTTTACAATACCTTGTTCTTTTCATTAGAGGTTTTCCTTGCAAGCCTAAAAAAAAAAAAAACAAAAAATTCCAATCAGGCAATTAGTAAATATGTAAAATACAAAGAATATCTAAAACTTTTTTATATAAAACTGCTGTATTTGTAATTTCTCTCTCTTATTCATAATGTTTACAGGTAATGTTTTTACAGGTGATGCAAAATATATTTTTTTACAAGGGGAAAAACTATAAATGGAAAGGGTAGTGCTACGGGACAAATGAAATATACTAATGTCAATATATTAACTTTAAATCAAGCTTTCTGATCATCAAAGACAGAAAAAAAAACGTTATTTGCAGTATTTGATAGAAAAATATGTATCCTGGGGTTTTCTCTCATCGCCCTTTTCAATACAAACAAAGTTTTACTGGTACTAAGACCTATTTGATAAATATTACTTACGTAACAGAATCCCTTTTTTAATGATAACATTAGCTAGTCTTTCCAGGACACACTGTGCAAGTACTGTGTACTATTCTAAACACTGTACATATATTTAAGTCATTTAAATCCTCCCAGCAATTCTGTCAAGTAGGTAACATACTAGATATTTTATAAAGAAAGAAACTAGGCACAGAAAGGCCACATAACTTGCCCAAACACATAAAACTGTTCAATAGTAGACTAAGCATTCAAACCCAAGAACTCTGGCTCCAAAACATATGTTTCACAATATGCTATGCAAGTAATATTTATTTTCAAGTAATATGATAGATGAATTCATATTATCTTTCAGTTTCTGAATATAAGTAACAATTTCTGAATCTTGCAATATTTTTAAAGTAAGATTTTAAGTTTGGCATTTTTTTTAAGTTCAGTGGTACAACTGCAGGTTTGTTATGTATGTAAACTTGTGTCACGGGGGTTTGTTGCAGATTATTTCATCACACACGTATTAAGCCTAGTACTCATTATTCTTCCTGATCCTTTACCTCCACTCATCCTCCACTCTCCACCTTCCAAAAGGTGCCAGTGTGTGTTGCTCCTCTCAATGTGTCTACGTGTTCTCACCATTTGGCTCCCATTTTTGAGAAAGAACATGTGGTATTTGGTTTTCTTTTACTGTGTTAAATTGCTAAGGATAATGGCCTCCAGCTCCATCCATGTTCCCGCAAATGACATGATCTCATTTTTTTATGGCTACCTAATATTTCCCGGTGTATATGTACCACATTTTCTATATACAGTCTATCAGTAATAGGCATTTACTTTGATTCCAGGTCTTTGCTATTGTGAATAGTACTGCAATGAATATATGCATGCATGTGTCTTTATAACAGAATAATTTATATTCCTTTGGGTATGTACCCAGTAATGAGATTGTACGTTGAATGGTACTTCTGTCTTTGAGGAAATGCCACACTGTTTTCCACAATGGCTGAACTAATAATGTACACTCCCACCAACAGTGTATACGCATTCCTTTTTCTGTGCAACCTCACTAGCATCTGTTATTTTTGTACCTTTTTTTTTTTTGAGACGTAGTCTCACTCTGTCGCCCAGGCTGGAATGCAGTGGCGTGATCTCAGCTCACTGCAACCTCTACTTCCCAGGTGCAAGCAATTATCCTGCCTTAGCCTCCTGAGTAGCAGGGATTATAGGTGAATGCCACCACACCAGGTTAATTTTTGTATTTTTAGTAGAGACGATGTTTCACCAATATTGGTCAGGCTGGTCGCAAACTCCTGACCTCCTGATTCATCTGCCTCGGCCTCCCAAAGTGGTGGGATTACAGGCGTGAGCCACCATGCCTGGCCTGGACTTTTTAATAATAGCCATTCTTACTGGTGTTAGATGGCATGTTATTGTGGTTTTGATTTGCATTTCTCTAACCATCAGTGAAGTTGAGCTTTTTTTCCATGTTTGTTGATCTTGTGTATGTCTTTTGACAAGTATCTGTTCTTGGCCTGGAGCAGCGGCTGACATCTGTAATCACAGCACTTTAAGAGGCCAAAGTGGGCAGATTACTTGAGGTCAGAAGTTTGAGAAGAGCCTGGCCAACATGGCAAAATACCATCTCTGCTAAAAATACAAAAATTGGCAGAGTGTGGTAGGGCATGCCTGTAGTCCCAGTTACTCGGCAGGCTGAGGCATGAGAATCACTTGAACCCGGGATGGGGAGGGAAGTTGCAGTGAGCCGAGATCACAGCACCGCACTCCAGCCTGGGAGACAGAGCAAGACTAAAATAAAAAGAAAAAAAGAAAAGTATCTGTTCATGTCCTTTGCCCAGTTTTTCTGGGGTTTTCTCTTGTATTTACGTTTCTTACAGATGTTAGATATCAGACGTTTGCCAGATGCATAGTTTGCAAAAATGTCTTCCTTTGTGGAGGTTGTCTGTTCAGTCTGATGACAGTTTCTTTTGCTGTGCAGAAGCTCCTTAATTTGATTCCACTTGTCAATTTTTGCTTTTGTTGCAATTGCTTTGGCATCTTCATGATGAAATCTTTGCCGGTGCCTATGTCCAGAATGGTATTGCCTAGATTGTCTTCCTGGGTTTTTATAGTTTTCAATTTTACAGTTAAATCTTTAATCCATCTTGAGGTAATTTTTGCTTATGGTATAAGGAAACGGTGAACTTTCAATCCTCTGCATATGGCTAGCCAGTTATCCCAACACCATTTATTGAATATGGTCCTATCCTTGTTGCTTTTTGTCAGGTTTGTTGAAGATCAGAGATTTGCAGCTGTGTGGTCTTATTTCTGGGTTCTCTTTTGTTCCACCGGTCCATGTGTTTGTTTTGAACCAGTGCCATGTTGTTTGGTTTCTGTAACTCTGTAGTATAGTTTGAAGTCAGGTAGTGTGATTCCTCCAGCTTTGTTCCTTTTGCTGAGGACTGCGTTGGCTATTCATGCCTTTTTCTGGTTCCCTATGAATTTAAAAATAGTTTCCTGTATTTCTGTAAAGAATGTCAGTGGTAGTTTAATAGGAACAGCATTGAGTCTATCAAATGCTTTGGGCAGTATGACTTTTTTTTTTCTTTTTCTTTTTCTTTTTTTTGAGATGGAGTCTTGCTGTTGTCGGCCTAGGCTGAAGTGCAATGGCATGATCTCTGCTCACTGCAATCTCCGCCTCCTGGGTTCCAGCAATTGTCCTGCCTCAGCCTCCCGAGCAACTGAGATTACAGGTGCCTGCCATGATGACTGGCTAATTTTTGTATTTTTAGTACAGATGAGGTTTCACCATGTTGGCCTAGCTGGTCTCAAACTTTATCTTTGAGCAGTGTTTTGTAGTTCTCCTTGTAGAGATCTTTCCCCTCTCTACTTAGCTGTATTCCTAGGTTTTTATGTTGTTGTTGTTTTGGTGGCAATTGTGAGTAAGAGTTCGCTCTTGGTTTGGCTCTTCACTTGACTATTGTTGGTTTATGGGAATGGTAGTAATTTTTGCACATTGATTTTGTATCCTGAAACTTTCCTCAAGTTGTATCAGCTTAAGAAGATTTTGGGCCCACACTATGCGGTTTTCTAGTTATAGGATCATGTCATCTTCAAACTAAGATGGTTTGACTTCCTGTCTTCCTATTTGGATGCCCGTTACTTCTTTCTCTTGATGGATTTCCCCGGCCAGAACTTACAATACTATGTTGGAAAGAAGTGGTGAGAGAGGGCATCCTTGTCTAGTGCCACTTTTCAAGGGGACGGCTTGAAGCTTTTGCTCATTCAGTATGACGTTTGCTGTGGGTTTGTCATATATGGGGTCTTACTATTTTGAGGTATGGTCCTTCAATAACTAGTTGAGAGTTTTTAACATAAATGTATGTTGAATTTCATCAAAAGACATTTCTGAATCTATTGAGATGTGATTATCTCAATAACAAACAATAATTCTGTTTATTTGATTAATCACTTATTGACTTTTTTTTTTTGAGACTGAGTCTCACTCTATCACCAAGGCTGGAGTGCAGTAGTGCAATCTTGGCTCACTGCAACCTCTGCCTCCCGGGTTCAAGCGATTCTCCTGCCTCAGTCTCCTGAGTAGCTGAGACTACAGGTGCGTGCCAGCACGCCTGGCTAACTGTTTGTATTTTTAGTAGAGACGGGGTTTCATCTTGTTAGTCAGGATGGTCTCGATCTCCTGACCTCATGATCCGCCCACCTCGGCCTCCCAGAGTGTTGGGATTACAGGCGTGAGCCACTGTGCCTGGCCTATTGATCTGCACATGTTGAAACAACCTTGCATCACAGGGATGAAGCTAAATGCTCACATCAAAAAGAAAGATCTCAAGTTAACAACCTAATGTCACAACTAAAACAACTAGAAAGGCAGGAGGAAAATCTAGGTGAGTGAGTGACATTCTGAAAGCCAAGTGAACAAAGTGATACAGAGGAGAAAGTTCTTCATGGGGTCAAATATTGCTGATAGGTTAAATAAAATGAGATCTAAGAAATTATGTCTAGATATATCACAGTGAAAAAATGACAAGCTTGAGAATAACAAGTTTGGAGGAGCGGTGAGAGTGAAAATTATGACAGTGAGTTCAAGAGTGAATGGAAGGGAAAGTTGAGTCCATGAGTACAGATGGTTCAATTACAAGGATATCATACCTAAGTGGCATTATCGTGTATGACCTAATATTCTTCTTGTTCAACTGTATTTCCCAATCCTTTTAAAATGATTAGTTACATAGTATGTTCTAACACTTAAGCATTTTAAAAATTATATACATATGGCATTTTTATAAGCCAGACCATGGTATAAATGAATAAAGCCATAAATTTATAGAAGTAGAAATCACCTTGAGCATTTCTAGATTATATAAAAGTGATTAACATTTTGCTCATGCTTATAAAGACCACAGAAAGACTAATGATTTCAAGGACAGTATTTTTTACTTGAGAAAACTCACCCAACTCTGAGACATTTTAAACTCATCAAATACACAAAGCAATTAGTCATACTAAAATACTCAATTCTGTAACAGGAATAAAAAGTGACAATGCAAAAATATCTTATTTTGTAAACTTAATTTTTGTAAATTATACAATATGAAGTCTACTGAAAATATGGTGTGGTTCATACTTTCAAAGGAAGAATAATGACATGCATTGAGAGTGCCTCTAAACAGGAGATATACTCCATTGGCAGCACCTTGGTTTTAAGCACACAGGTCAGCAAATTATATAAATAGTGTATGCCAAATAATAAATAGTGTGTGCCAAATTCAGCCTACTACCTGTACTACCTGTTTGTGTAAGGGTTTTTTTTTTTTTTTTTTTTTGTAACAGTGAAACCTATTCTTTCATTGAATGACAAGGGGATCTATTCATTTATTGAATGACAGTAATTCACTTATCAAGTGACAGAGTGACACCTATTCATTTATTGTCTATGAAAGATGTTGGGACTACAAAAACACAGACCCTCTGGTCCTTAAAGCCTAAATGTTATTATCTGGCCAACTCCTGGCTTGGTAGATCAAAGGTCCTTTGATATACTTCGATAACTTTTAGCAATATTGTAAATCTTTGTATAAAATATGGTTCCCCATGTGCAATCCCTTGGCAATATTCAGATTATTATAAAGGTCTAATATTTGAGCACTTTTGCATTGAGAAAAACAATAATTTTATAACTAACGATTCTGTTGGTAACAAAGTAAAGTGCCAATGTAGCATGTAGCTTCCTCTTCTAACTCAGTCAACACTGTAAGTATTAAGATCATACAATATTGTATTCTGACAAAATTTGCTTAGGAGAATTGGTACTTGCAGAGTGGGGTACTGCTATAAAGATAATCTGAAAATGTGGAAGAGACTGGAACTGGGTAACTCACAGAGGTTAGAACAGTTTCGAGGGCTCAGAAGATGACAGCAAGATGGGAAAAACTGGGAATTTCCTAGTGAATTGCTGAATGGTTTTGACCAAAATGCTGATAGTGATATGGACAATGAGGTCCAGGCTGACACAGTCTCAGATGAAGATAAGGAAGTTATTGAGAACTAAAGTAAAGGTCACTCATGCTATACTCTAGCAAAGAGACTGGTGGCATTTTGCCCCTGCCCTAGAGATCCGTAGAACCTTACACTTGGGAGAGATGATTTAAGTATCTGGCAAGAGAGATTTCTAAGCAGAAAAGCATTCCATATGTAACCTAGCTTATTCTGAAAAGCATTCATGTGGTCACAAAGATGGTTTGGAATTGGAACTTATGTTTAAAGAGGAAGCAAACCATAAATGTTTGGAAACTTTGATGCCTGACTACGTGGTAGAAAAGAAAAACCTGTTTTCTGGGCAGAAATTCAAGCCTCCTGCAGAAACTTTCTTAAGTAACAAGGAGCTGAGTGTTAATAGCCAAGACAATGGGGAAAATGTCTCCAGGGCATGCCAAAAATCTTCCCAGAAGACCCTCCCATCACAGGTGCAGAGGAAAAAATGGTTTCTTGGGTTGGGACCAGGGCCCCGCTGCTCTGTGCAGACCTGGGACATGGCACCCTGCATCCCAGCTGCTCCAGCTCCAGCCATGGTAAAAAGGGCCAAGGTACAGCTCAGGCTGTTGCTTTAGAGAGTGAAAACCCCATGCCTTGGCAGCTTCCATGTGGTGTTGGCCCTACGGGTGCGCAGAACACAAGAGGTGAGGTTTGGGAACCTTTGCCTAGATTTCAGAGGATGTATGGAAATGCCTGGATGTCCAAGCAAAATCTGCTGCAGGGGCAGAGCCCTCAAGAAGAACCTCTGCTAGGGCAGTGCAGTGCAGAAGGGAAATGTAGAGTTGGAGCCCCCACAAAGAGCTCCCAATGGGGCACTGCCTAGAAGAGCTGTGAGAAGAGGGTGACCATTTTCCAGACCCCAAAAAGGAAGATCCACTGACAGCTCATACCGTGCACCTGGAAAAGCTGCAGGCACTCAACAACAGACCATGAAAGCAGCCTGTCCATGGTCAGGACAGAGGGGTGTCCCCTGCAGAGCCACAGCGGCAGAGCTGCTCAAGGCCATGGGAGCCCACACTTTGCATCAGTGTGCCCTGGATGTGAGACATGGAGTCAAAGGAGATCATTTAGGAGCTTTAAGATTTAATGACTGCCAAGTAGAGTTTCAGACTTGCATGGGGCCCATGGCACCTTTGTTTTGGCTAATTTCTCCCATTTGGAATGGGAACATTTACCCAATGCAGGTACCCTCACTGTATCTTAGAACTAACTAGTTTTTATTTCACAGGCTCACATCCTTGTCTCGGATGAGACATTTTGGGTCCCAACTTGGACTTTTGGGTTAATGCTTGACTGAGTTAAGACATTGGGGGCACTGTTGGGAAGGCAGTACTGGTTTTGAAATGTGAAAAGGACATGAGATTTGAAAGGGGCCAGGAGTGGAATAATATAGTTTGGTGCTGTGTCCCCACCAAAATCTCATCTCAAATCGTAATCCCCACCTGTCAGAAGAGAGACCTGGTGGGAGGTGACTTGGTCATGGAGGCTGTTTCCCCCATGCTGTTCTTGTGATAGTGAGTGAGTTCTCACAAGAGCTGATGGTTTTAAAGTAGGGGACTTCCTTGCTCTCACTCTCTCCTACTGCCTTGTGGAGAAGGTGCTTGCTTCTCCTTTGCCTTCTGCCATGATTGTAAATTTCCAGAGGCTTCCCCAGCCATGAGGAACTGTGAGTCAATTAAACTTCTTTTGTTTATAAATTACCCAGTGTCAGGTAGTGTCTTTATAGCAGTATGAAAATAGACTAATACAAGATGTGTTATCAAACCAAATGCTTTAAAGATACTTTACTGGTGAAATAATCACTACACTATAAATGCAACTTCATTTTTATAAGAGGGTTGCATACTACATTATTTTATGGGTATGACTATTTCCTTATTAATAGACTTTTACGCAATCTCAAATATTTTGATACGACAATGTTATAATGAAAGTTCTTACCATATATATGTATGCATGCAACAATTTCATATAAAGAAATAACTATACACACACACATATATATGTTGGCCTATTGCATGTTATATATATGATATATATCATATATATAATAAATATATAATTAATGACTTTAACTGCTTGTGTGTATGTGTAAACTCATATTTTCCTGTAGAATCTAGTCCCAGAAGTAAAGCTGTCAGGTTAATGAAATGACATATTTAAAATTTTGATGCATGCTACTAAACTACCCTTCAATAAAGATTTACCAATTTCATTTAGCAACAGTGTATAAGAGCATGTCTTTCTTCACATTTGTCTAGTTATTTTTTTGTTTTTATTTTTTTATTTTTTTTGAGACGGAGTCTCGCTCTGTCGCCCAGGCTGGGGTGCAATGGCCGGATCTCAGCTCACTGCAAGCTCCGCCTCCCGGGTTTATGCCATTCTCCTGCCTCAGCCTCCCGAGTAGCTGGGACTACAGGCCCCCGCCACCTTGCCCAGCTAGTTTTTTGGATTTTTTAGTAGAGACAGGGTTTCACTGTGTTAGCCAGGATGGTCTCGATCTCCTAACCTGGTGATCCACCCGTCTTGGCCTCCCAAAGTGCTGGGATTACAGGCTTGAGCCACTGCGCCCGGCCGTCTAGTTATTTTTTAAATAAAACATGAATATATTGGAAAGACCGTAACTCATTGCTTGTTAATTTGCATTTTATGATTACCAGGCAAGGCAGAATATTCCTCCTAAAAGTATAAAATTTGTTAATTGTACATATTAACCCAAATTAGAATTCATTTTATAGAACAATTAACAATGATCTGCTGTTAAATATTGCTATAGGATTACCTATCAAACTTGTCATTCTCCTTCCTGGGTAACTGATGATTATCAGGTTTTCTGTTCTTTATTTTATGAGTTAATTCATCAACATCATCATTATAATTGTCACTGTCATCAGCATGTACGTTTCTTGAAACTTCCATTTTCTTATTTCTGCATTTCTTCATTTTTTCTTCAACCTTCAATGAAAGTTTCATACTGAGAATAACTGTCATTATTTTATCTAACAGAAAGAACTTTTTTGTGTTCATTTAATTCTTGACTCTGTCATATTAGTCATGACATGATAAAATACCTTGTGCTTACTTTTATCATTATATATAATTATACATGTTATAATTTTTATTGAAATTCATATAAAGTCTTATTTCTGTTTGAGTGAATACAATTTTCAAAACTTTCAAAATGGGCCCATTCCAAATTTGTGCTTTTATTCCCATTGCTGTCTAATATGCATTTTCTCACCCCCTGGTGCCCTTGTGACGAGCAGAAATAGAGAAATAAAAAGAAAGCCATGAAATCTGTCCTCTTCTATCTTTACCTCCTGGAGTTTACACTAAACGGCCAGATTTAGAGGATGTGACATTGTGGAGCTTCAAGAACAGAAAGGAAGCTTTCCCCTTTCTGCGGTTAAGCTTTCTTTTCCCACTGTCATTTATTTCACTTTTTCCATTTGGATCCTAGGATATCAAAAATGTGAAGGTGCTTGCTGAAATACAAGAACTAAAATTTGAAACCACACAAGACACAGAGTGAAACTGCTAACATGCTACTTTAGGGTTCTGGAAAATGAGATGCTTTCCAAATTTCACATTCAGTAACCACGACATTTTATAGCTGGAGGATATACAGTGTAAGAAATTATCTGCTTTAGTCCCATTATCAAAAAAGATTAAATGATTCATATCTAAAGCCCCTGGCATTTCTGAGCATTTTATTGCACAAAACCTGATAATACTGTTTCATAATGCTGAATCAGATAAATTACCTGATAAATTCATCAAATTAATCAGAAGAATTAAAAGTGTAACTCTGGGAAAGTAACTTAATGCCTCAGAAGGGGCTGAGAGGCCTCCTCTACTTTTACTTTTAAAGGTGAACATCACCAGATTTTTGTCTATCTTTAAAACTCGATGTACCTAAATCAGGTTTCTACTTTGGAGTCATATACTAAATTTCTGGCTGAGAATCCATGGTACTGACATAATAAAGTTATACATGCTAAAACTTATGCTCTATTAAACAAAATCACATTAAGATCTGCTTTGACAGAAACATGTGGAAGTTGTGATTAAAAATAGATGGAGATATCTATATACATTTGTTTTCAAACATATTTAAGGTTGTCATGATGAAATTATAAGCCCTAACATATTGAGTGAAATGGATCAACTTGCACACCTGAAAGCACAACACACAGATTCCTTTGCCTATGAATATTTGTTCCAACTCTCAAGGATAGATACATTTTTATAGCACTTCTCTAGTCATTGCTTCCTCCCCATTGATTTCCCACTTTATTGTTTAAGTGCAATTCATCGTAAAATCAATAGGGAAAAATTAAACCCTAGAGCTTATTAAATTTTTAAAGCAATTTCATATAGGCTAACCCTAGTTTAGAAGTGGCTATATCCATGATACATGAATAGATTAGTTTTTTTTCCCCAGTCCCTATGCCACTTGGAAAATGGACAGATTTGGGCTGATTAAACAATGAAGATAGAATGTTTTCCTGAACTATCATTTATTTAAATTGAGAAATAATCTATTTCTACACACAATTATGTATATAGATAACCCCATTTGGCGTAAGAGCTTTTCATAAGTAAAAAAATTAGAATGCACCAAATAACTGGTCAAGAGAAAGAAAAACAAGTAGCAGCAAGTGACCCTGTAAACCCTGTAAATCTTTCTGAAGTTGAACTTTTCTTTCTTCTTTCTAAGAAGAGCTGTGGGAAGATAGCGACCATCTTCCAGACCCCAAAAAGGTAGATCCACTGACAGTTCATACCGCGCACCTGGAAAAGCTGCAGGCACTCAACATCAGACCATGAAAGCAGCCACAAGGGCTGGAACTCTAGTTGTAATATGCCTGCCTCATTCTTAAGTCTTTGTATATTGTGCTGTCACTATTCTTCTAGATGTACTTTTGATGCTCTGTCACTGTGTGGTGGAGAAGAATGCACATTTTCTAACCCACATTCTATTCTTTTACAGTTATTTGTAGTGTAATTATGATACAATGGTTTCTGGAACAAGTTCTGTATGGGTTTTCTATTCTTACTAAGTGTCTGTAACAGCAGAAACACTATGCTTTTTTTCTTTCTCACATACTTAATTTATCTGGAGCAGGTAAGCCACAAATCCAAAAGGCGTATTGGATCACTAAACTGAGGCACATTTCTGATGTCCAATTTGCAATTAATGTTATGTTGGTGATTTTTTTCATCATGGACCTATAACACTCTTGGTCTTCTTTTATTTCAGTGGTAATTACTTCTGGGTTCCTTGCTTTTGTACTTTTTGTGTCATTATAAAATTCTCCTGGTCAATGTTAAAAGCATGTTCTGTGTCTGGTTTGTTACTATTTTCACAGTATGCTTTATTTTCATTTAAATAAAAATTAGAAGATGACTGGCAAGCAAATTCTGGAGACCAAGAATATAAATGAGATCAAAAGACATTTATGAGGCTGCACTATTTCTAAACAGGAAATATTAGGAATACATATTAGATGAACACTCCAGATACATCTTTTCCTGACAATCAGGTGCATTATTTGTCAAATTTGAGGGTATTTTCTTTAAGTTTGCTATTCCTGTAGGATTATCATGGAGTGGCTCTTCCTAAAAACAAGGCAGTAGTTTTGTATTCTTCACAAATTTCACCCAAATTCTGCTTTAACTCAATTTTGATGAGTTTTAAAGTTTTTTTCCACCTCATTTGTCTTGTTTGATCCATATTTTCCTCATACTTTTGCACATAAGGGAGTCCTGCATATACAGATTTATGCTATTACAATACTTGTTCACTTATGTTTGCTGAGACATTTTTTGCAGATGTGAAAGTGGAAGATTATGAGTTTTGTTTGTCAGATGTCTTTTCTGTCAGGGTATATGTTTTAGGAATAACTTTGTCTTTAAATAATGAAGTATGAAAAAATGAAAATTTAACTGTTAAATTTCTTAATATATGTTTACCTAATCCCAAATCACTTTTTTGTAACCAAAAAGTGAAAAATAGTTTGCATAAGCCTAAAATATAAGAAAAACACAAACCATCAAACTTCACTTTGACAGTGTTTGGAGTAACATTAATTAATTGTGTGATATTTACCAAAAACGAAATAAGAGATTATTTTTAGTAATACAAAGTCATTTTCACTTAACAAGATTTTATCTCACTGTGCTGGAAATAGTGATACCCAACAGTGGACATTTGAGTGTTTTTTCAAAGATTACTAACTGGTGAGTAGGCAAACTTTAAATTATTAGGAGTCAAAATCAACACCAATCAAAAGAAAAGCAAATTCTTACATTTTAATTCAAATTATATACTGTAAAATAATAGTGCTAGATAGCTATATAAACTATAGGCTTAAGTCAAGTTCTAATAAATTTTCAGGCCTATGAATGACAGTTGATTTAAAAGATTTAAAAATATTTGCAGATTTCCTATGTTGAAATAAGTTGGGAACATTATTGCTTGAACCCAAACACCAAAAGTGCCATTTTGCAAGGTCTGATTCTCTTGATAGGTAGTTGGGTTGATTTTATGACCCCATTCTGCCCTGAACATAGATATTGAAATTAGTAAGAGATCACAATGGAGAATGCATGTTTAATCTTGGTATTAGTCATCAGTAATATAAAACTGCAAATTTTGGACCACTGGCAATGATTACTCCTTTAACAGGAATCCAACTCAGCAGCCATCACTGTTAAATTATTCCTAATTTTTTACTGCTTAAAATTATGATTCAATATTTGATATTACCTTCTTTATTATATTAGGTTATAAAAACGGAACAGCAAACAATACTCAGGAACTTTTTGCCTCAGTTCCAAGGTTAATATTAGCTGTAAATCACTGTAGATTCTTAGAACACTTTAAGTTTTAGAAACAGTTAAAATGTTTTTAAAATTAACTGTTAAATTATATTCAATTGATTCTAAAAGGCTAGTCCAAAAGTAATTTCATTTGGATTATGCTACATTACCAAAGAAAACCAGAAATTTGAAATTAAATTTTGACATACCTGTGGCTGGCTACTTTCACATCCTTCAAGGCTCTCTTGCTCTCCCTCTGATGTCATTTCTAAGTCTTGTTCTGCTCACAAATCCATATATTTAGTTAAAATGAACTACTTAGAACAATTAGATAAAAACTTTAGTCTTTATAAAAATGAAAATAACATATATTTTTCTTTTATAAATTGAGAATTTTAATGAAGCTTAATCTTTAGTGATATATCTACTTCTTAAGAATTACTTCTAGTTCTCCAAAACTTCAACAAACTACTTGGCAAGACACCAGATGTCACCAGATTCAAGCCATAGACCAACACCTCAAAGATTTGCTCACAAATTAATCCACCCAATATAAATGAATGAAACTATCAGAAAAACAAAATGTGAAAATCCAGTATTAACAGATAAACTAACACTATATGATTAACAGATAAACTAACACTATATGTTGTTCTTTACTTCCTAACATTACCTTTTTAATAACACACTAAGCCTGCTGCTTCTCATTATGAATAACTTCCAATATGACTGTTACTGCTTATATCTGCATCCATATACACCCCGTTCATTATATCTGAAATGTTTCCCTCTACTATTCTGACAAATTTCATTTTTCAACAGACAGCTATGTAAACTCTTCTTTGATTTTGGTTCTTTCCCCAGATAAACAGTTTTATATAATACAGGTTTCATAAAACATGCAGTTAAGGTTTCAAAAGTGGGTTTATGTTTTAACTGACTATAACTAAAACAGAAAGTGGGGGTTGGTGGATGACCCTGAGCTATCAAGAATGAGATGATGCCTTCGCGGTGCCCAAGGAGGCTGAGCTCTGTTGCTGTGAACCCCAGTGGTCAGACCTGCTCATATCTCAGCATTACTTCAGAACTGACCTACCCCAGAATGGTGTGGAGTGCAGCACATTTGCTTGTCACCGAGCCACCATTCTGGTTCCCAGGTTGCATCTCTCCACTGGACTAGGGAGAGGGTTGTCAGTGTTTTGCTCCTGGGCCTGCTTCTAGCTGCTTATTTGAATCCTTGGCTCTGTGACGTACTACTCCTGGTTGCAGCTCTCACTCTTCATAGTTACTGGGGCCTTGGACAAGTTGTTAATGACCATGTTCACGGGGATGCCTTGCAGAAAGCTGCCAAGGTAGAGCTTTTGGCACTTTCAGTTTTAACCTTTGCTGGGCTTTGCTATTTCAACTATCACGATGTGGGCATCTGCAAAGCTGTTGCCATGCTGTGGAAGCGCTGACCATTCTGACTTCATACTTTGAAGAATTGATGTATACCTCTTTGTCTCTGCTTTGTCATGCCATTCAACTCAGAATAAGGAAGAAATAACAGGTAAGTCCATTGGTGGACAGCCTTCTTCTCTTAATCACAAGATTATTTTCCAAATTTAATATTTGAGGAAAAGATTTGAGAAGAATTATGACTAAGAAATTGTGAGACTGAGTTTTGTATTCTGGTGAGTTAATGGGGTTGCCTCCCAGCTTCTCTTAAGAGTCACAGTATAACTAAACATGATATATGAGCTTTTGCCTTTTATCAATCTCTTAAAGAGAATCCAGCTTTATTACTATCAATATATGATCAAACTTCTACATTTGCCTTGTGAATAATGGACAAAGGGAAATACTGTTAATTCATGAATAAAAACTGTGCAGAAAATTAGACAGTGTTTAGTTTTTGAAAACTTCCCTCTCTATTCAGTAGATACCACCTATTGATGGTTACATATACCAGAGAAATTTTAAAATTAGGAAATGCTGTATCTCACATTATGAATTTCTAAATCTTAGGAAGAAAAGCTTGGAGTACTTCTGAATATAGAGAAGTTCCATTTAAGAGCAAGGTTCCTCTTGTAGACATATCAAAATATTATAAATTCTAAACTGACACTCAATTCTCAAATGTGTTTTACTTGTTCTGAACCAATCTGTCCATGAATATAAAACTATAAGTAATAGTTATTTTCCCACTATGGGAATCCCTAATGTGAAAATGTATTCTATGAACTGTTTTTAAATAAAATGTTGTATAACTAAAAAAAGAAAAGTGCACATATTCCAAAATTAACCTACTGGCTTGCAAAAAAAAAAAAAAAGTGTTTTTCAGTAAGAATAGCAAATCATGATCCTGAGAGGATAACTGTCAAAGCTTCTGGGAGAGTGCTGTGGCATATTTTTAATGCAACACATCGTACTTAATTATACCATTAACCTACATGTATTTTTCATGTTCAACCATGTGTCCTATATTTTAATAAGTACTTTTATTTATTAAAATATTAATATATTTTAATAAGTACACAGTTGTGATGACAGCATAGTTGAACATATAGCTACTTCCTCATGAAAGAAAATGTTCTGAAATGACCTTCTTAGAGAGACAGTTGTAGAATAACATTTGATAAAAATATTGACTGTTTTCCAACCTCAGGTGGGCTACTGTTATGCCTCCATTACTTGGATCCAGTAGTTGGGCCCTTTATTAAAAATTCTTAACCCACTCATGGAAGAAGATATATAAAACACACCAACAATTAACATAAAATAAGCTTTTGATGTATAAATATTTATGAAAAAAATTTAATTTCCACAGACTTATTCATTATTAATAACATTCTATATTTCAAAATCAGCGCGATGTTTATTGAAAGTATTAGTTTTGTTATTTAAGGAACGAATCCTATAATCGTTTTGTTTCTAAAATTAGTTTGACTTGGCATACCATGCTAGTCTCTGAAAAACAGGTTTCTGATCACAAAAATAACTTGCTTAAAAAAAAAAAGCCAATATTTCTTAGTTCAAATGAAATTTGATTAACTAATATCAACAAAACCTGTATCTCTGATGTGTGATATGGAGTAGAGAAATGAGTCGCTGTGGTTTACGCCAATACTTGCACTCCCTTGCAATGCTTACAGTAATCTTTAGGGGCAGTGATAATCTAATGTCCTGATTAAGTGCAAATATACAGAAGCCATGTCAAGTAAGTTCTCTCAAGTGTCCTCATCATTAACTCCAAAACGACTAAGATAGTTTCTTTCCTTCCTCCCTCCTTCCCCCTTCACAATCCTTCTGCTCTGGCAAAAGTCTCTCAATCTATGGTCTTCATTCTTCCCCTTGTATGATATCCTTCATAAATTATCCCCACCACTTCTTTCCTCTCCATTTAACACTAGTATCTTACATTTTGATAACTTCTATTTCTTAATCTTTTTGCTATTTCCCCTGTGAGGAGAAACATGATCAGAAATAAAAGCACAATGGCACTTTCCCTTGGCCTTGTTTTGTCTTGAACTACTATCCAATGACAATCCAATGGCAAACAGGCATATGGAAAGGTTCTCTATATCACGGATCACCAGAAAAATGCAAATCAATACTACAGTGAGATATCATCTCACCCGTTAAAATGGCTTTTATCCAAATGAATTACTAATAAATGTTAGTAGAATGTGGAGTAAGGGGGACTCTTATACACTGTTGCTGAGAATGTAAATTTAGGACAGCCACTGTGAAGAACAGTATAGAGGGCCCTCAGAAGGACTAAAAGCCACCATACCATCTAGCAATTCCATTGCTAGGTATATGCTCAAAAGCAAGGGAACTGGTATATTGAGGAGATGTCTGGCTTCCCATGTTTATAACAGGACTCTTCACAATAGCCAAGATTTAGAATCAATCTTTTTTCACAAACAGACACATGGATAAGGAAAATGTGGTATATATACACAATGGAGTGCTGTTCAGCCATAAGAAGACAATCAGATCCTGTTACTTGCAATGACATGGATGGAACTGGAGAACTTTATGTCAAGTAAAATAATATAGGCACAGAAAGAAAAGCTTCACTATTAACTGAATGCTTACAATTCTAAATACTGGGAATACAATGGTAACCATAAATCTGAGATTCCTGCTCATGTAGCTGACATTCTAGTGAATGAGGGGAAGAAAATAAATTAACAAGTAAACAAATACATAATTTTAGATAGTAATGAGTTTTGAAGTAAACACAACTAGGAGTATTAGAAAGAGCCTGACTAAATGAGGATCTACTTTACATGGTGTGTTCAAAGAAGATCTCTCTGTGTTGTGATATTCAAAATAGGCACTAAGTGATGAGTATGAGACAGCCATTCAAAGCAGAGTAGCATTCTAAGTGGGAGGAGCAGCTAGTGCAGAGGCCCTGGGTCAGAACAAGCTGGGCGTGCTTGAAGAAATGACAGTATGACTAGATAATTATGAGGGAGGGACGGGTTTTTAGGAGAAGAAATTGGGGAGGCATGCAGAGAACAGGGTTTCTAGGTCTTCAAAGGCATATCATAAGTTTGGATTTTATTTGCATAAGAAGCCACTAGTGGGTTTTATGGAAAAACATGGTTTATATTTCAAAACAATTACCCTTGCTACTAAATGGGGCATGGACTATAGATGGGGAAGCACGGAAACGAGATCAGTTTGGAGGTTGTTATATTAGACCAAGTGCAAGAAGATGGTGGTTGGGAGTAGTTCTGTATCAGTGGAGGTACAGATCCTACTCGAATGTATCAGTCTGAATAAAAATAAAGCTGTACAAAATTAAAAAAAAAAAAAAGAAAAGCTTCTCATGTTGTCATTGTCACTCACGTCTGGGAGTGAAAAATTAGAACAATTATTTTCGTATGATTAGTGAGTAGAAGAATTGTTACCAAAGGTTAGGAAGAATGTAAGGGTGGTGGAAAATGAGAATGCTTAATGCAAACAAAATATAACTAGATGTAGCACATAAAATCTAGCATTTGATAGCATAATAACGTGATTATAGTCAGTGATAATTTGTTGTACATTTTATGATAACTGAGGAAGTACACTTGGAATGTTCATAAAACAAAGAAATGATGAATGTTTGAGTTAATGGATACCCCAATTAACCCTGATGTGATTATTACACATTGTAAGCCTATGTCAAAATGTCTCATTTATCCCATAAATATAAGCACCTATTAAGTACCCATAAGAATTAAACACAAAAATTACACAAAATCAAAGGACATATATAGACACACACATACACAGTGTACTAATTAGAACATCGGATTGGCTTAAGATCATCAGCGTAACATAACTGACATGAGGCAAATAAAGTTATAGTAGAAACTCTTCCAACAAAGAAAACTCCAGGCTCAGCTAGCTATGCTGATGAATTGTACCAAATATTTTCAGAAGAAACAATACAATTCAACACTAACTGTGCAAAAAGAAACAAGAAAGAGTACATCTCAACTCACTGTATAATGTTAGCATTATCCTGAACCAAAACCAGACAACGATACTACCAATTAAAAAAACCTCCCTAATGAGTATGAATGTAAAAACTGAACCAAATTGTGAAACAACCAAGACATCTCCAATAGGTGAATGAATAAACTGTGGTTAAACAGTCAAACAAAGGAATATTACTCCATGTGAAAAAGAAATGACCAATCAAACCACGAAAATACATGAAGGAAACATACATGCATATTAACAAGTCAAACAAGCCAACCTAAAAAGGCTACTTTATGTAAGATTCCAACTATATGACTTTCTGGAAAATGTAAAACTATGGATACAGTAAAAAGATCAGTGGCTGCCAGAGGGTGAGGGATGGCAGGAAAAGATACACAGGTAGAGTACTGAGGATTTTTAGGGAGGTGAAAATAACGTATATGACACGCATTCATGTCAGTCTACCTTGGGACTAAACCCATACGATGTACAGCACCAGCGTACAATGCACACTACGGGCTGCAGGTGACTCTGATGTGCCAATGTAGGCTCATGCATTATAGCAACTGTACCACTGTGGGAGGGTTACTGATAAGGAGGGAGGCTACATATGTGTGCAGGTAGAAGGTATTCAAAAAGTCTCTGTACCTTCCTCTCAATTTCGCTGTGAACATAAAACTGGTCTAATAAATAAACTCTTTATAATAAACCAATACAGACTTTATCATAACTTCTTTAGAAAATTGAATCCAACAGTATAATAAAAGGACAATACATCATAAACAAATGGGTTTTTTTCCCAGGACTGCAGGGTTGGCTTAACATTCAAACATCGTTGTTATCTGCCAGATTAACAACGGAAAACAGTAGATCCATAGAATCATCTCAACAGACAGAGGCATTTGATACAAGTCAACACTCATTCCTGATTTTGTAAAAATGAAAA